GAAACTACTGAATGACCTACGTTGCTCTTGTTGTATCTCTGAGTACCAGCTCAAAGAAGAACCATCATACAAACTCACTGACCTGAAACGAGGTATGGCCTTAATATCACCAAACCTCGGGAAGAATAACAACGCCCTGAAAGGACTGTGACAAAATGAAAATAAATGCAGAGAGGCCAGCAACAGTGTTAACTCTCAAAGCTATTGCTGTTACCTCTGTGCCCTAAATCCCTGTTCCCTTCTACAATCCTCTAAGGTTGTAATCCTGTTCATCTCTGGCGTGGATTTCCACCACAAACCTGCCTTCTGCATTTCCTGGTGGCATAGAAGAAACCGAGCCTGAGAGAAATAAGAGGGTGTTTCATTTTTTAGCCATTCCTGGATTTTTTTTGGTTTGCATTTGGGGGCAACACCATAAAATACTTCAACGACAACTTCAAATATAATTAGATTTCACTTGTTTGTTTTTATTTATTTTGGGGTTTGGGTGCTCAGGGTTTACTCCTGGCCCTATATTCAGGGATCGGTTCTGGCAGGCTCTGGGGAACCATTCATGGTGCTGGAGGTCGAACCCAGATTGGCAGCATGCAAGGCAAGCATCCTATTCGGTGTACTATTGCTTTGGCCCCTTTCAGCTGTTCTAGGCCTGTCTAGTCTAGGCCTCCCTATATAAACTTTTCCCAAACTGCCTGGTGCAGGCTTTTTTCCAATACACATTCCCTTGGCAGATGGAGCGAGGCTAATAGGGCGCTCTAGGTCTCCAGAGAAATTGTTACCATCACTCTAAAGGATGGAAATCACCCAGATTTAGGGCTCTCTCCAGAAACAACATTTTTATGGGAAAAAACCTACTTGAAGGTAGAACAAATATGTCAAATCAGAGACTGATGATGGCATGGCTAGGTAAAGGCAGGCCCCCATATCGTCATGTTAGAGCCCCTTCTCTCTCCTTGATGTCCAGGGACTCAATTGTTTAGGCAGATGCAAGTGCTCAGGTTCTTGTCCTCAAACTGTCACGGTGGAAAGCAGGGGACCAGAGAGCAAAGGGTCCAATTGATAAGACTTTAAGGGCCAAGAAGGCAGCGGTGCGCCCACATTATGGAAGGGGTCTCCTGAAGGATTTCCAAGGCAGAAGCACTTATCTCTTTTTAACAAAGGTGGATGGGTGCACTTTTCTTTATTATGTTCCATGAATGTGGGTCATTAAAATAGGGGAGAAGATGCTGAGAGGACTGTCTTCTCAAGTCTGGATCCAACTGGGTCTAGGTCATCTGTGTTATCAGACCCTCCCTAAGCCCCTCTCGTGACATTCGATGCCAGGTGATTTCCTGTAGGGTCAAATCCTAATCTGACCCTACCTGTTACCCGTTTGTTGAGATCACTATCACGAGTTTTAGCTCAGAATAGAATACCTCGGCCTATCCCATTTACTCTAGAATTTTGATAGGTAAATTCTCTATATGTAATTCTATTTAGTCTTTCCTCCCTTCTAAAGAGATATTCATGTATTTGCTTGACCAATCCAAGAAGAACTGATATGGGCGGGGGAATTTCCTCATGAGCCTCTGAATCTGCCAAATTCTTCTAGGTGTTATAAAATCAAGCAATTGGATGGACTTAAAAGTAATTAAAAGCAGGACCAGGATGATAGCACAGTGGGTAGGGTGTGTGCCTTGCACGCAGCAGCAGACCAGGGTTCAATTCCCAGCATCCCATTTGATCCCCGGCCGACTTGGATTTGATCCCCAGTATCCCATATGGTCCACTGAGCACTGAGCACCACCTGGAGTAATTCCTGAGTACAGAGCCAACAGTAACCCCTGAGCATCGCAGGGTGTGACCCAAAAAGAAAAGAATAAAAAAATAAAAATTTAAAAAGTAATTAAGGGGCTGGAGCAATAGCACAGCGGGCAGGGCGTTTGCCTTGCACACCGCAGCAGACCAGGGTTCAATTCTCAGCATCCCATATGGTCCCCCAAGCACTGCCAGGAGGAATTCCTGAATACAAAGCCAGGAGTAACCCCTGTGCATCGCCGGGTGTGACCCAAAAAGCAAAAAAAAAAAAAAATTAATTAAAAATAAAAGAAAAAGTAATTAAAAGGAAAAAGCACCATTCATGGCGCTTTTACTTCAAGATGAAAATATAATTGCATTAGGAAGTTAGGTCTTTGGCTGCAGCATCTGAAGTTAAGTGAAAAAAATCCCCAGGGCACTAAAATGGCTCTGAGAAGCAGGAACTCAGAGGTCAGCAACCAATACTGCACCTCTAGACATCTCTCATCTCTATTTTCTGCAATTTGATGACATGCTATTTTTTTTTTCTTCACCAGATTTCTTGGGTTTTCCTTTATGGAATCTAACAGGGTAGCTCACAGCTCCTGACAATTAATAACCTCAGCTTCAGTAACTCAATTCCAGTTTCTAAACAAATTACATGGTTCGAATTGGATTCCCTGATCTTTGGAACAATTATCCATTAAGGTCAGTGGGGCCTCCCCAGTGAAATGTGCCTGACAGTTAAGGAATTCTAATCACAGAGGGGATTCTAAAATTTTATTATTTATATTTACACCCAAGCAGGTGGGACTCGACATGTGCTAAATGACAAAACACAGAGATTCCAAAGACTTGTGAGAAGAAAAAATAAAATAGAGTACCTGGGGTGTGTGGTCATGAGTTTGGACCCCTGCTGTCCCACATTTCTGAAGATCACTCTTGTCAGCTCTGCTGTAATCCCCAGAGTCACATGTGATTACTAGCCAAAGGATTTCCTGATCTGTGTAAACAACACCCAAGGAAGGGGAGGGTGTGGAGAGGGAGTGGGGGGTGGGGGGATACTTCAACAGCAAAAAAGCAAAATACACTTACATAATATTAGTTTGATTTTATGATGATTCTTTGGGCTACATTGGGTTAAATTTATTAAAATTGACTTCAGCTATTTCTTTTTCCTTCTTGACATTTCCCTCGCTTATACGGCTATGGAGAACAGCGTTCTACTATCTTCAATGGGCATTTTGGTGGGCTATTGGCCCTTCACCTAAAATTTCACTGGTTATTTCAAAGGTGCACAAAGGTATCTGATAAAAAAGGGTAATAAAACATGAATCTGTATAGTAACTTAAAACACTGTTAACAGGCTCAAAACATTTAAACACAGAAGACCATAAAATGTTCTGCAAAACCCAGTGTCCCTTCAAATTATTTACAAATTTGACTAAATCCCAAAAATGTTTAGATTTTTGGTGGTTGTTATTTATGTGGTATGGACCAGGGGGTGAAGTACATCATTAAAGTACATTCAAAAGAAGAACTAACAGAAAACTGAACAGTTACTTCTGATAATTAGCTGTTAAGATCCCTCTATCTATGTTCATAAAACATTTTAGTACCTGGTGTGTGTCAAGTATTGTCTACATTGAAAGAGCACAGTGAACAATATTCTAATTATGTTATAAAGCGATTGCACTTCAAAAAGACAAAAAAAAAACAAAACAACAAAAAAAGAATGAGTCCACCTAACCACAGAATTAAAGGCTTCCCCTATTGGGTGGGGCAGGGAGAGCTAGCAGAAAAGAAAGAGTTAAATACCGAGTTTCAGGGCGGGGTGGGGTGCTGGGCGAATCCACACATTAAAATCATAAACAAGAGAGCTCAATTCTGGAAAATTTGTGTCTAGCAAAAACCACTGCACGAAGCCACAAAGGAGCTCTTTTGTGGAGACCTATGTCGTGCTCACAAAGAAAGGTGACTTCCTTTATTCGTGATTATTCAGAAAACAAAAGTTGCCCGGGGGGCTGCGGGGAGGGGTGAGGTGGGTCCTCTGCTCCCCCCGTCCCTGCAGCCGAACCGGGAATTAACTCACAAGAGAGAGGCAGAACTGAAGTTTTGCCAGATCTCGGCAAAACTCCCGTGCCCGAAATTCGTCGGACCTTGTCCACCAGGATGAAAACTGGACGCTGGACCTTCTCCGCCCAGGACAAACGCCAGGGCTAGGAAGAAATCCACAGTTTTCCCTGCGATTGAAAACTGGAGCCTTTATAAGACATCGCCCGCACCTACATACAGATGTTCGCCTTTAACAGCTGGGTCTCCGAGCAGGTCACCAAAAGTGCGTCTGAAGGCCCCCGAACTGCTGGACGTTGGCCCCCCAGATGACCATGACGACCGCCAGGACAAGATGGCCGACTAAAAGTTGTTTGTGCTGCGCGCAAACCCTTCATCTTTGCCGAGTGTTGCACTCACACACGGATGATCGTCCCCGACCCAGGGCCGAGAGGGTCATTGCTGCAGCTGCATTCGCCGCATTTTAGTAGCTGTCGCAGCAAATGACAACTTTGAGGAGAAGGGGAGGGCAAAATAAAAAAAATAAATTTAATTTAAAAAAGCAATAGCGTTTTCAACCACTCTCCCTGAGAAGCACAGTGAAGTCCCCCAGGGAACACCCACTTGACTGAAATACCCCCAAATAACACTTTCCTCTCAACAACATAAAAAGGAACAAAAAAAAAAAAAGCAAAAAAACATTCAGACCGGAGAACGCCACCGACCAATCACACGCAGACTGAAAACCACGGGCTGTAGGCGCGAGCCAATCGCACGGCAGGGCGGGACTTTTGAATCGCCGTCCGGGCCAATCGCGACACCCGCCCAGGGCCCCGAAAGCCGCTGAGTGCGCGCGGGATTGTTTTTGCAGTTTCCCGGCGCGGCGCGAGGCGGGGCTGGCCGAGAAGGCTCGTACGCCGGCACGGGGGCCGTTTCGGGGACGACCCCCACCCCTCCGAGTGCACAGCCCCGCGGGGAAAACGGGTGGGCGGGGCCCCGCACCCAAGCGCTCCCACCCCTCAACTCCAGCCGTGATGTCTAGAACGACCCCAGCACCCCGGGCCCGCGCGCAGTGTAGGGAATTAAGGTCAGGCAGTGTCCAGCTCTTTCTGGAGACCGGTGGTGGCTCTGAAAAGAGCCTTTGGGGGAGTTTGGAAGCAGGAAGCGCCGACAATCTACTTCTTCTTGGCCGCCGCCTTCTTGGGCTTGGCAACCTTGGGCTTGGCGGCTTTGGGCTTCACCGCCTTCGTGGCGCTCTTGGCCGCCTTCTTGGGCTTGGCGGCCTTGGCCTTCTTCGGGCTCTTGGCCACTTTCTTGGCCACAGCACCCGCCGGCTTCTTGGCCTTCTTCGGGGTCTTCTTGGCGGCCTTCTTGGGGGTGGCGGAGCCCGAAGCCTTCTTGGGCTTCTTGGCCGCGCCGGCGGGCTTCTTGGCCTTGGCGCCCGCCTTCTTGGCCTTGGGCTTGGCGTCCCCGGAGGCCGCCTTCTTGTTGAGCTTGAAGGAGCCCGAGGCGCCGGTGCCCTTGGTCTGCACCAGGGTGCCCTTGCTCACCAGGCTCTTGAGCCCCAGCTTGATGCGGCTGTTGTTCTTCTCCACGTCGTAGCCGGCGGCCGCCAGCGCCTTCTTGAGCGCGGCCAGGGACACCCCGCTGCGCTCCTTGGACGCGGCCACCGCCTTGGTGATGAGCTCGGACACCGGGGGCCCGGACGCCTTGCGGCGCGCCCCCGCCGGCTTCTTGGCCGCCTTCTTCTTGGCGGGGGCCTTCTCCGCGGGGGGCGCGGCGGCGGCGGGAGCGGCAGGAGCGGTCTCCGACATGCTGGCGGCTTCGGACTCGGGGACAAGTGGCAAAGCGCCGATGGAGCGGCCGGGGCGGGCCGCCGTATATATAGAGCGCAGGCGCGCGCTGATTGGTGCTCCGCTCGCCCGCCCGCCTGGCAGCCTCGGAGCCGCCGCCGTGCGCCCAAGTTGTGTTTGTTCCACGGCACAAAACGGGGAAAATCGGGAAAGGTCCCGCACCCACCTCCCCGGACTTGGTCGGGGCAGGGTCCCAGAAGCCTCAGGCTTCGAGATCTCCCTTTATTTCCCCCGCAAGTCCGAAGACAACTCGTCCAGGCGTCCCCAATTCCCCCAACTCCAGGGGAAGTTGAGGGCAGTCGGTGACCACTTTCTGTTTTTCTTCTAAATTACCTGTTCGCTCCTTTGCCCCTGGAGGTTCTTGTTCTCAGGGGTGGTTGGGCACATGCTTGCCTTCCATCTGGGACAAAAACGAAATGATTGCCACCTGAATTTTCAGGAAAATTCTCTTTCTTCGCAAGGGAAGTAACACAGGTCGTCTGTGAATTCTGCGTCCAGACCCACAGGAACTGCGGGCTGGGACGCGGATTGAGGGGCCAGTCCGGAGCATTTAGGGCGGCATGGGAGGGGGTTTGTAAGCCTTGAGGGGGTCCTGGGTGCTGGGGGGGCCAGTGACTAGAATCTTTGCTTTGAAAACACTGAAACTTTTATCCGATCCGCCTTTCCACAGTTGGGGGCGGGGCACTCTTCACTTCTCCAAAGGGGAGACTTGGGCTGTTGTAAACTAACTCTCAGGTTCCCCACTGCGTTGTGCGAGGCAGGGGGTCTGACACTCAGGAATAGGAATGATAAAAGAATAAGGAAGACCCCCCTCCAGACTCGGGATCAACCCCCGAAGCTTTGGCAGTTAGAGACTTTGAGATACCCGGCTTTCAAAGGCAGTCATTTCTTTTGAAATCTAAGGATGGATTTCAGCACCTGAGAGTTCTGTTGCTCGCTGTAACAGTACGTCCTACTACATTGCATGATTTAGATGACCCGAACGGGAACTGAGTTGGAAGTAAAGCAACTGATTTTAATAAGTCACGCTTCGAATTCTTAGATGAAGGCTAGGAATTTGAGTAGGGAAAAGAAGTAGACAGCTATATTGAGAGGACAAGTATGGACCATATACATTTTATCACTTTTTTTTCTTTTTCATTTTCACTTTTTATTGCTGGGCTCACCCCCCCCACCCCCCAGAGTTCATTCTGTTCTATTCTATCCTCTTCCAAAGTTTGCTTTACTGCCCTCAGATCTGATGCTTCACATCTCAATCTTTGTTTCCAAGTGATTGCAATTTGTTTTTCTAAAGACAAAAAAAAGATAGTCTTTCTGATATCATTTTGGAATATGTTTATGTTAAGGAACAAAAGAAGCATTACAGCTCACCAGAAATTCTGTTCAAATATACATCCGCTGAACAATATGTATTAGATAATACAGCCTTACACTGTGGTAGGCAAAAGATGTTATACAAATTAAGTTCCAATGAGGCATTTTATTGGAGACTAAGGATGACCCCATGGTTTCATTCCATTGCAGTCATTCAACGTTTGAAAACTGTGTCGACTGCTAATGGTGCCCTCTGGGAATTAACAACCTAATAAGATTAGTGATGGATGAATTGGCAGTCATAGAAAACCACTTTAGTCCAGCCACCCGCCCGCCCATCAGTCTGCCTTTGGACACAGGGGTTGTAAGACATTACTGAAAGCATGCAGACAACTTGAAGCACCTTCATCATACTGGTATATTTTGGTAGAAATAAAATAAGAACATGTCACTTTGCACTGATTCTCGGCTTAAAAAAATTCTTTGTGCAACTCAGTTCTTATGCTAAGGGTGCACACTCCACAGGAAAAAGAGTACTGTGCAGTCTTGATTCCCAGGTCACTTCTTAACCATGAACTGGAATCAGGAATTATAAGTCAGCAACTATTATAAGTCTATTCTATTACTGTGATCTGGCTCTCAGATGTGATCTTTCAGGTTGAACTATCCAAATGGTTTCTCTTTACATGCAAATATGAAGTCGAGATCATGAGTCAGAGAGTGAGCAGCCACCTGGAATCCTCTGGCGAAGGCCAGAAGACAGAGAAGAGTGGCCCTTCTCCAAATCCCTATAACTTGTGTTGAGAAAAGTTTCTACAACTTTAAAATCAGCCAAAAAAAAAAAGTGTCTTTGCTTCTTTCCAAGCTGTAAAAGGTTGTTTAAGGACTAGAGCATGGCTCATCAGTACCTGGGTTCAATCCCTAGTCCCCCCCCCCACTTACACACACACACACACACACACACACACACTTGTTTAAGTCCACTATGGTTTATCTGTTGTGTCTAGGCTCCTACTATACAGTAAAATAGAACGAGACACATTTTAAGTTTTCTACTAGTCACATTGGAAAACAAGTTTAAGGAAATCGGGGCAGTTCATTTGATTTAACTGTGTCTATTTCACTCAATACAAACTATCAGTTCAACATTCTTCACGTTATTAATTAATCAGTAAGTCGTACCTTTCAAAGTAAACGAGCTTACATCCCTTTCTTGAGTGGTACTCCAAGCCTTCCAAACTTGGTTTATTCTTTATACTTGTAGAAGGTTCCAATTCAGACTGCCCACGCTGTCACAGCGCGTGACAGCATCTAGTCACAGGTCTAGATGCATGGCAGTAGCCATGATAACTTTGACTTAATAATAACCCTTTTCTGAATAGGTTCAGGGTATGTGAACTTAAACCTTCAGTTTGTAGTTGATGATGTATCCGTAAGTGCAAGAGAGATGCAAAAGCATTTTTTTCAGTGGGAAAAAAAATTACTAAAGGTTATAACTGTGTTGCCTCATAGGACTTGAACCAATTTTATATGAAATTTTTCATCCCCCTGGCATTCCTTCTTTCCCTAATTATATATATTCATTCCCCTATATGCAATTTCACCTGACTTTGTCATCCTACTTGCTCGTTGTACGTAGGTTATATCTTTCATTAACCCATGCATAAACTCTCTCTCGGTCATGATTTTACGGTTTTGAAACTTATTCTTTTATATTTGATAAGTCAGTTGATCCTAAGAACTCTGAATCAGACTCTTTAGAAACTGTTATAAAAATTGGGAGATATAAAACTCTTGGCCATAAACTTTTAAGTGGCTTTAGATAGTCCGGTAGATGTCCCATGGATTCCCAGGCTTTGAAATAAGATCAAACAAGCTGGTGAGCAATAGGGGCCCATTTGATTATTAGCTCTGGGGCCAGAGAAGTAGTACAGAGGTTAAGATGTTTGCCTTGCATGTGGCCAGTCCTGGTTTGATCCTGGAGCCACATAATGTCTCTGAGCACAGAGCTAGGAATAAGCCCTGAGCACTGCTGGGTGTGTCCCCAGTCCTTTACACCCCCCCCCCAAAAATTAACTCCAAAGGGAAATTGAAATGAAGTGGTCTTTCCACTCAAAATTTGATGACCTCAAGATAACAATAAAGTGAGACCATGGTTAGATATTGTCAGGAAATATATCCTACATTCTTACCCATATCCTGAGTAATAGGATTAGTAGTTGGCTAATTCTGTTTTATGTAATTCAGTTTTGAAAATCTGGTGGACAAAGTTAGATTAGTAAATTAGTGATGCCGATTAGGTCAAGTCCAAGGAGATATAATGAAGCAAGAGAAAGAGAGAGAAAGAGACAGAGACAGAAAGACAGAGACTCCCCATAAAAACACTGCAAGAAGAGTCAAAGGATGGGTTGACACAGGTGTGCAAACCAGGGGCTGCTGGTTGATTTTCCTTTCACTTCCTCCTCCTCCCATACCAAAAGAAGCTTCTTTCTGCATTGGGAATAGCAGACCTAACATTAATGAACCTTGTTATTGGTCCCAATTGGAGTCATTAAAATTTGCTTTTCCCTGACTCACCAAGCGATGAGGCTAAATATAGTGGCCTCTCCACTGGCAAGCAGGTTCCGAATTGGAGGTTCGGGCTTCCTCCACTTTGGGCACTAACAGTACAGTGCAACCCCAGACAGAGGGGACCGCAAAAAAGAGAGGTCAGCTGCTTAGTAACAGTGAGATCCTAGGCACTCCCATCTTTCTTCTCAGCTCGTTCTTCCAAATAATCCAGGGCAATTTCCCAGTTCTTTCATCAGTATTGATAGGCAGATGGTCAATGACTGGACCATTAGACTGTAAGCGAAGAACCAAAAGTCCCTCCTCTCCCAGCCTGCTGGTGCCGTAAGTGCTGAGACCAAAGTTTCTATATCTGTAAGTACATCTGGGGAAGCCAACATAGAACAGAGCAGGAAAGCATCTAGCATGGAGTATTCAAAAGGAACAAGGTAAAGGTAAGGTAAAGGCCCTCCCGTTGATCGTCGATTTGCTCGAGCGGGCCCAGTAACGTCTCCATTGGAGACTTTGTTGTTACTGTGTCTGGCATATCGAATACTCTTGGTAGCTTGCCAGGCTCTCCGAGAGGGGCGGAGGAATCGAACTCAGGTCGGCCATGTTGGCCGCGTGTAAGGCGAACGCCCTACCCACTGTGCTATCGCTCCAGCCATAGCAAAAGGAACAAAGCATAGCAAAACCTAGATCTCTAACACTTTAGAACCTCTACTGAAGTGTATGGGTGACACAGGAAACTGGGTCATCAGTAGCCACCACATTCTTTAAGCTCCTTTTCAAATGGCCTGAAACTATTTCAAAATGCCAGGCAGGCTCACCCTCAAAAAAAAAAAATTTCTCAATAGTGACAACATATACCTTTCAAAACTTTCCCAGGCCTCAGGAGTGCTGACCATGTGCAGGGCGAGTGCTGTATCCCTGTCCTATCTCTCTGGTCTTCAGGAAACAGTTAATCCATCTACCTGAAAGACAGCCTTAGAGGTAGTAACGGCTGCAGAGGAAGAAGATGGACATTCAGTTTTCAGAGATCTGTGAAGACATGTTGCTTTCTTGTTCGTAGCCAGCCTCTTTGACTGCACTTGATTTTCATACACTCTA